AGTAATAGCTTCCTCCTGTATGTCCAATGAATAAATGTCATCACTTACGTCAGCATTCTTATTTGAAATCAAATTTGAATTGCCCAAATGTAAAGTTGGAACTACATTGGCTCTTAAATAACGTTTCCCAATATTTTTTCGTTCAAAATGCCTGTTGCATATTCCAGCCCTTTTCCGGTCGAAATTATTAGGTAAATTGCATGCTATAATCCACTTGTTTAAATAAAATTCTTTAGACGGAAACGCAAATAAGCTAACCGGAAAATGAATGGAACTGTTCCTATAAATCGCGCCACACGTTTCAATAATGCATTTCCCGCCATTTCTCTGTGAACATTTTTTGACACCAACGGTTGATTTTTTTATAGCACTTGTTTCAGCCATAGTTTTAAAAAAAAACTTATATAAATTTTGGCAGAATTAACAATAGAAAACACTGAAGTGATAATAAAAGGTCGGTTAGCACTCCCCTTTGCAGATTTAATTCGAAATCGCTCGCACAATTAAAAGCCCGTGGCAGCCACACGCCAATGTTCACGTATTATGAACATACACACTTACAATATACCACAGGCAGTAAGAAATTCTTACTAAGAATTGTTTCCCACACTAACACATACATAATGGCAAATACATATAAAACGGGACTACAACGGACATTTGACGAACGTATTGAGAGAGAATTGAGTTTCGCGACGCATGCAGACAAAAGCCCATACTATAAATGTGTGTGTGCATGCTCGTCGCGAAAATGTATTCTTTATGTGTACAACAGGCAGCAAAAGCTTCCCTCACTGTCATACATGTACTAAGTGTGCAATTGTGTGTGCATGCTCGTCGCGAAATCATATTCTTTGTGCGCATCAAAACTTGCATACCCTTCCCACGAATATCCATCGAAACGCTACATTTTGTTTGCATAGGAGTGGCAAACGCTTTTAAAATTTCGGTGTAACCTTCACTCAAAAGGGGGATCGTCGCGAACAAATTTCATTTTTGTGCGATGCTGAGCTTGATGATTTGAGAGCCCATAGAGAGAGAGAGAGAAGGACAAAAAACGCAGAGGGCATCGAACTGGCCGGCGAGTAACTCATACACATACATATGTATGTACATACATGTATGTACATATATGTGTGTGGTATAGTGACTGGGTAACTCGCGCTTATCTTTAAGCACCTGATTTTATTTCAATGACTGTGGGTTTGCCTATCAGAATGCATTTTTATACCCTGAACCCATTTTCAATGGGAAATCAGGGTATAATGGTTTTGTTGAAATGTATGTAACAGGCAGAAGGAGGCGTGGCAGACCCTACAAAGTATATATATTCTTGATCAGGGCGACGAGCTGAGTTGATTTGGCCCTGTCCGTCTGTCTGTCCGTCTGTCCGTCCGTCCGTCTGTCCGTCTGTCCGTATGTATGAACGCGTCGATTTCAGAAGATATAAGAGCTAGAGACTTCAATTTTTTTTTTAAATGTTCGTAATTACAGCGCGCATATCAAGTTTATCATTAAAAATCGATAACTCATCCCGATCTTTTTTTATCGATAAAAAACCTTATCGAAAACCAGTTATAAAATTATATCTTCTACACCTTTATTGCTAGAGTCTCCAAATTTTTAATGTATGCCTATATGCAATTTATACAATTTCGGTTTTTGTTAAAATTTACCCCCACCCCTAAATTCACCCCCCTCACCCTCACTTTTGTAAAAAGCGTATTTCAAATACTAGAGACTTGTGCTTTGGCAATTACATGCATATCCATGTCATAATCATAATCTGAAAGTTTCATGAAGATCGTACGTCCAAAAAAAGTTATTAAGCAATTAAGTTCTCATAGTAAGCGCTCACTGCCGCCCATGCGTGTTTATGCTTGTGTGTGTATATGTATGTAATTGTTTGTGTATGTGTGTGTGTGTGTGTGTGTGTGTGTGTGTGTGTGTGTGTGTGTATGTGTTTGTATGTGTGTGTATGTATGCCTGTGTGTGCGTGCGTGCGTGCGTGTGTGTGTGTGTGTGTGCGTGTTTCTTGTGTAAGCTGAAAGACGCGAAAAATTATTGAAATAGCTATTACTCCAAGGGTTCAGGGGATCTCGTAGTCGAGTAGTCTCGACTAGAGCTTTCTTACTTGTTAAAGATAAAACTCAGTGGGAAAAATGGGATAAAATTTTCGATCCCCTGTACCCGTTCATATATGTACATACATATACAGGTGCATGCAAGTAAAAAACGTATCAAAAGTAATGGGAAGTGCACCTGTCACTTTAGTTAGTCCGCTATTTAAATATAAGCGCGCCTCTTCAATTAAAACCCAAAATCGTTCACACCATTAAAAGTTGAGGTAGGCACACGCCAATGTTCATCTCCCAAGCATGCAAACAAAGATATACACACACGCACATGTAAAGGCACATAGGCATACAAATGCTTCTACAAGTGATATCCCATAATTGTGAACAGCACATCCCATGCGTACACACAATCAAATGTATATACATACATACATACATATGTATGTGAGGACTTCACAAGATCGACCAAATGCAAATGCTGGACTGTAAAATTGCTACAGGCGGCAAGAGCTTCGCACACAGGCATACAAATGCTCATAGTACATGTAGCAAGCGAGAGTGTGTATGCATGCTAATCGCGAAAATATTTTCATTATGCGCACCAACGCTTTCATACCCTTCCCACAAATAATAACGAAAACGCATGACAAACGGCTTGAAGAGTTCGGAATACACTTCACGTAAGGGAAGAAACGGCAGTCTAACGCGAAGAAATTTCGATTTTCGTGAGCTGCTGCTTGTGCTCACATGCATACATACATATACATATTGAGAGAGCAGAGAGCAGAGAGAGCGAGAGAGCATCTTTTATTCAACATTTGACCATTTCGGTCGAGCGCATGAAGCGGAATGATTGTACTTTCGCATATTTTCGTAGCCCGAACCTAAAAAGTAAAGAGCCGAGCAAATACGAAATTGATAGGCCCTAGGAGACACATTTTTCGGTGTTGAAAAACTTTGTACTACATGTCTAGTCTATGTGTTCTCTGGTCAGTGGTATGGTATACACGAGTATGCATGCCAAATTTCAGCTCTCTAGCTCTTATAAGTTCTGAGATCGACGCACTCATAGGGACTGACGGACAGACGGACAGGGCTATATCGACTCAGCTCGTCGTGCTGATCAAGAATATATATACTTTATGGGGTCTGCGATGACTCCTTCTGCCCGTTACATACTTTTTCACACAACCATTATACCCTGATTTATTTGGAAGCGCCAGAGCATCTTTTTACCCTATTATCTCCCTGGAAGCAAACTTTACATAACAGGTTTAACATTAACTACTAATTTAAACATATATATTTAAGTAAAATTAGTTACTAGTAGCGATAAGTTTTTCGAACTGTCGTCTTTTTAATCGGCAAATGGGTCTCGAGTTTGGCAGCTTTCTTGCCAGCCGGTTGGCGTGGGTCTTAAGGCGGTCATTGTAACGACTCGAGTGGAAAGAGATCTGCTCTTCCACTGTATCCAGCTAGAGATCTCTATGCAGGCAAGAGTTTTGTACGAACGAGGGGCATCCAGTGATTTGGCGAAAGGCCTTGTTTTGTACTGTCTGAATCTTTTGCAGGTTACTCTTGGCGGCGACTCCTCAAACTTGCACACCGTACCTCCAGATTGGCGTGATTATGTGTGTTAGTATCTTGCGCTTATTTGCTAGGGACAGCTTGCTTTTGCTGTGTAGCAACCAAGACATCTGCTTGAGGCAGGCGCAACAGGTGCCAGGTGCCAGGTGCAACAATATCAAGCGCATACGACAAGAAATGGCGGAGCTTTCAGATATAAATGAAAGTTTGGGAAGCACTAGTGACGGCTCGTCTACTAGCGAAGTTGAGTTCGATTTATGGACCCACCACAAGGCACTGGCCCACAAAACCAGTAAGAAAGACGGTAACCATTTTCAAATTCAAGACGGACTCAGTGTTTTTTTAAATGCTCCTGTTTTTGAATTGAAGCGTAATGTCGTCAACGCCTGGGAGGAGATGCGTACTGTATACCCTAAGCTATATGTTATAGCTTGTCGGTATTGTTTCTTAATAGGCACTTCGGTACCAGCGGAACGTCTTTTTTCCAAGGCGGGTGCCACATTAACCGAAAAAAGGAACAGGTTAACAACAGAGCACCTTTCACAACTACTATTTCTTAACTCAATTTTAAATAAATAAACGTTTATATTCTTTACTGTTCTTGTTGCTATTGTTGCGTCTAACAGGAGTTCATAAAAAATAAATTAAGCGCATTCAAAAAAATCATTTGAATAATCGATTTTTCCATTTTTCCGCGATTAATTGCAATTAATCTTTAAAGCACCTAAAATAAATCATATGATTAAATAATCGAATAATGATTTTTTTTGCCATCACTACGCATAGGTTGCCACAAGGGTGCTACTGCTACGGAGCATTTGCATCTCTTTTCTCTTTTCCTTTTCTGTTGCTTTCGTAGCTGCTCTCATACCCAGTGGCGGAAATGCCCATTATTTTGTCCATTACTCATGGATTACTTGTCGCCTGTGTGCATGAAAAGATCGATTACAAGCTGCCTTACTTTTTAAGGAATGGCCGCTTTTTCTCCCGGGTGCATGAAATTATTGAATTTTGTAATGCAGAAAGTAATGAGGTGACGAAGTTTCCTTCGGCTCTCCATTACCCATGCGTATACTTTTTAAATATTGTAATGTAGAAATTCCGCAACCTGAAGAAAACGCCTTATACATTTTCAAAATCGCTTATGGGTTAGTAATCTGCGTACATTACAACACAATATACCTGCAACCCATTTTCCCACTATATAAAATGGCTTACTTCTTAATGCAATGTAATTGGAGAAATAATTGATTACTAATTGAAAGATAGAAATGCTTGAGTAATGCAGTATTTTTTGTTTTAATTTTTAAAAATTATTATTTATTATTTCTTAATATCTATAAATAAATGTATAGTCTTAAACTATGTATTATTACTATTTTATTATATCTATCTACATCTAAATCTAAAGCTATGTCTTATTATCTAGTTTGTCCTTATTATCGAACTTCTGATTTGCCAGTCGACCTTTCTGGACGCGAAAGCAGTTTCTTATTGTACTTATATAGGTCTTCTTAGTGGACCCTTCGGTTTTTATAGCATCTGTAAATTAAACAATATTAATTTTTTTGTCATTAAAAATACATGTAAGATGATGTATACATACCAGATACTTCCCTTTAAATTTACGTCCGCACGGCTCAACAATAGCAGAAAAGTGACGCGCCGCGGCGGGTAAAACGAAAACAGAAATCATCACACATATGCATTTTTGAACTTGTATTTACACTCATTAACACTATACACACAAAAGGAATAGGCATAGACAAAAAAACCAAACGAAAGAAGGCACGCATTCCATGCAAAAAACGGTAAAGTCCAAAACGAAATTCGGCGATTTCGTCGCGACGCAACGAAAGACGAAAATCGTTTGTTGGTTAGCGGGGAAGGGGCATACAGTAACGAAGTTGACAAGAGCTCGATTCTGTCGTATGAGTAGCACTTTTTATTTTGTACATTACAAATGCGCTGAAAAAAATGTTCATAGGTAATGCATTACTTTTTTGTCGTATGTATTGCATTATTTCAACAGACCTCATTCAGGTCGTCGCCACTGGGTATTTGCTTCCATAGCAGCTGTGTACGAAATATTGCCCTTTAAGACGTTAATTTCAAATTATAAGAATTCATTTATTTTCACATTGTGCTATAAAATATATACGATTCAAGCATTTAAAAAAAAAAAATAAATTTCAAACAAGCAGTAATTTGTATTTCTAATTCTGATTGTTTTCCTCGTCTTCAAATGAAGGGAAGCTGTCGATGGCACCGTCTAAATGGGATGAGTTTAGTCTGACAAGTAAAATATTTTCCAAAGTGTCGTGGTTTAACCTATTCCGATTGTCGTTCTATTGTGACCTAAATAAATAAAATAAAAATATATGAACATATGCCTTGCAGCAAAAACAATCCTATTTACTTGTGTTGGCGGAATGGCGAAGCATACTTTGCTCAGTGCATACAGTTCAGGATCAGTCGACTTTCTTTCTCTCCAGAATTTCAATACATTAACATTTGCTTTCATGTAAGGAAGCTTCAGTGTTTCGATTTTGGAATTAAGTTTCGGGTTATTGGTTTTAATTTTATCCCATAAAGTCTTCAAGAAGTGTACAGCATTTTTTTTCTGAGCCCCGGAGAGAATTTGTTGGAACCTCGGATCTAAGTATAGTCATGCATCAAATCCCACATTCGATATAAGTTTTTCCGTTCGAGTATCTAATACTAATTTTAAAACTAATTGAATGTTCGCCGTCTGACCGTGATAATAAAATTTGATTTGTAGTCAGCTTACATGTGAGCCACAAAGCGTAAAAATTGCCGAAGTGCAATTGCTCTTCTTGGAATCTTACAATAGTTTTTTGCAGTGGATTCATTATACAGGTGTAGCAATCTATAAACTCCCACAACAAAGAGCTAGCGTCGAAATTTTCATCATCCGTTTTATTTTCGATTGCTTCAATGTTACACAAAACGTCCTTTGCTATGTTCAGTCGATCGATCATTTTATATGTTGATCCCCATCTTGTGGGACAATCCAATTGAGGCAGTTTTAGTTTACGAAAGTCAAATACCTCACGATAACCATTTGATAACTTATGAATGTATTTCGTTATGTTGCGACATTGAAGTAAATAGCTTTTAATTTCTGCATTTTTTAAAACATCAAGTGCACAAAGTTGTGCAGTACATGACGAGCAAAACTGTAACACGAACTCAATCTTGCAACTTCAAGAGTCTATATTTTTGCTTCTACTCTATGGATGTTTAAGATCTTAATTTTATTTTGTTAGTATGATATTTAGCCGTGTTACCTGAAAATTTGAAATCATTCGCTTGGCTGGAATAATTATAAGAATTAAAAATGTAACAAGTAAGAAAGCTCTAGTCGAGACTACTCGACTACGAGATCCCCTGAACCCTTGGAGTAATAGCTATTTGAATAATTTTTCGCGTCTTTCAGCTTACACAAGAAACACGCACACACACACACACACACGCACGCACGCACGCACACACAGGCATAAATACACACACATACATACACACATACACACACACACACACACACACACACACATACATACACAAACAATTACATACATATACACACACAAACATAAACACGCATGGGCGGCAGTGAGCGCTTACTATGAGAACTTAATTGCTTAATAACTTTTTTGTGGACGTACGATCTTCATGAAACTTTCAGATTATGATTATGACATGGATATGCATGTAATTGCCAAAGCACAAGTCTCTAGTATTTGAAATACGCTTTTTACTAAAGTGAGGGTGAGGGGGTGAATTTAAGGGTGGGGGGTAAATTTTAACAAAAACCGAAATTGTATAAATTGCATATAGGCATACATTAAAAATTTGGAGACTCTAGCAATAAAGGTGTAGAAGATATAATTTTATAACTGGTTTTCGATAAGGTTTTTTATCGATAAAAAAATATCGGGATGAGTTATCGATTTTTAATGATAAACTTGATATGCGCGCTGTAATTACGAACATTTAAAAAAAAATTGAAGTCTCTAGCTCTTATATCTTCTGAAATCGACGCGTTCATACATACGGACAGACGGACAGACGGACGGACGGACAGACGGACAGACAGACGGACAGGGCCAAATCAACTCAGCTCGTCGCCCTGATCAAGAATATATATACTTTGTAGGGTCTGCCACGCCTCCTTCTGCCTGTTACATACATTTCAACAAAACCATTATACCCTGATTTCCCATTGAAAATGGGTTCAGGGTATAAAAATAGTCAAATGTTACAGTTTTGCACCCGAGTCATTTTTCAAGAAATATGTTTATTAATAATTAATGCATAGCTCTTTTGACTTTTTTTGGTCATTAATGTCATTTGCCATCATTTTTGTGTACCGTCGCACCATTTCAGCAAGAATCGCGCACCAAATGTCCTTGTTCCTATCCCATAGCTCTATCATTCCACTTGGAGCCACCTATAATTCGCAGGCTGCAATTTCAAATGTCTCCATATATTTTCAATGATATTCATGTCTGAAGAATATTCAAGACACTCAAGGGACTTGAATCCTTGCCATATTGTCCACTTTTTGACCAAATTAGACGTGTTCTTTGAGTCATTGTTCTGCATTTTTCAGTAGTAAAACCCATATGTTCACCTAATTCTCCCAAATTTTGTTGTAAAGTGATCAGATACTATCCCGAAACGTTATGCCATCGATTAAAACCAAGAGTCCAGCACAATCTTTGTTTATTCTCCCCTAAACCAAAAGAGAGCAGCCACCGCGCTTGACAGTTTGCCTTACTGTACTGTTACAGTCAACATACTGCACTGTGGGAGCTTTCAGCTAATGCCAGAATTGTCCATATGACTCCAAATGGTTGTTTATTGTTTTATCTGACCGTATTAACAGTTTCAAGTAGATGATTAACTAAAGTAACAAGTGCACTTTCTATTACTTTTATAGGTATTTTTTAATTGCATGATTTTTATGACATCTAACAGATGCACTCTTTAAAATGGGTCCATTTAGCCAGTATATGTATGTATGTACATGCATATGCTTCTTATTTTAATTTAATTTTAATTTATAAGGAACACTTTATTTTATATCAGTATTTACACAAGTGTGAGTGATTTACATGTGAAAGTTAAGAGTACAGGCCATAAACCTTTTCTGCTTAAATGTTAATATTATTTGTTCAGGAAATTTAATTACATTTAGAAACATTATTTTTGAAGGAAAAGTATAAACAAAAACCTCGTAAATTGACTTAAAGACTAAAAACTTAAAATTAAAATTAAGACTAATTGCTTATTGCTTATAAGGGTTCATTACTGTTTTGTAAATGTAGGTAAGATGAATAACTACAACGGGTTACAAAATTTGTGTGCAACTTAGTCAATCTATCTGACGCTAGTTCGACTCTGGCAATATAGTGTAGCTCCGCAGTAGGGTAATGCCACGGGAGATTAAATATTCTTTTTAATATTTTGTTTTGCAAGACTTGGATTTTACAGATATGAGTCTTAGCTATATCAGCCCAAACCGGAGCCCCGTAAAAAATTGTGGACTGGAAAATTGATCTAAATAGGTACATTTTATTTTCTAAACTTAGTCGAGAGTTCCTATTTATGAATGGATATAACACTTTAATTAATATATTTGTTTTTTTAATAATAAATTGGACGTGATCAGAAAAAGTTAATTTTTTGTCTAACAAGACACCAAGATATTTAACATTGTTCTCCCAGTTAATGTCTACTTGGCTTAGATTAATAGGATGTAGAGGAATATAATTATTTTTCCTATTTCTTGTAAAGTATATTGCTTGGGTTTTTTCCGGATTTATAAGAATTTTCCACTTAGTAAAGTACGCAACTAGAACGTTAAAGGCTGCTTGGAGAGAATCTGAGATATCGGTTGCCAGTTTACCAGAGCAAAGGATTGCCGTATCATCAGCGAAAATGGATGCCGTGCATCCACTTAAAGCAGGGAAGTCGGATGTATAGATATTATATAATATTGGGGAGAGGCAGGATCCTTGCGGGCAACCTGCAGGAATATAACTTGCACGTGAATGAGCATCGCCTATGTACACTGTAAAGAATCTGTCTTTCAAGAAACTGCGTATTATTTTAATAATCTGCAATGGGAAATGTAAGAGGTTCATTTTGTACACAAGTCCTTCATGCCATACAGAGTCAAAGGCCGCTTTAATGTCTAGCAAGACCATACCCGTAGATTTGGAACTACTAAAATTGGCCTTGACAATTTTTTTAATTCTACCCAGAGGTTGAATGGTATTGTGTTCACGACGGAAGCCATACTGAAGAGGCGAAAGGACATTATTACTTTCAGTAAAGTCAACTAATCTTTTCTTAATGACTTTCTCTAGGATTTTACTGACTGATGAAAGCAGACTTATTGGTCTATATGATGTAGGGCATTCAGAAGGCTTGTTTGCCTTTAAGATGGGAATGACTTTAGAGATCTTCCATTTATGTGGAAAATATCCGAGGCGTAGGCACTCATTAATAAGGAATGAAAGAAATTTGACTCCTTTACGAGGGAGGGCTTTTAGGCACACATTTTCAATGTTATCCAGACCTGGAGTCTTCTTGGATTTAAGCTCTTTTAAAATCGAAGATACCTCATGGACATTTGTCAGGTATGATTCGTCGTGGTCAACAGGCAGGGAGTCCAAAAACCCCGTGAAACTGTTGACCTCAGAGCTAGTGGATGGATCACCGAGGTTAGCTGAGTGCGAATGGTTCAAGGCGAACAATGATGCTAATAGTTCGACTTTCTTATCGGCACTTACGAAATTTTGCTGATTGTGTGTGAGTGTGGGTATTCCACTGTATTTCTTCTTGATGACTTTTGAAAGCTTCCAAAAGGGGGAAGAATTTTTTTCTAGCGAGGATAAGAGATTATTCCAGTTCTCGTTTCTGAGTTTGGATAATTCAATATTAACTAGTTGGCTGAACCATCTAACTAGAGTCAGATCACATATATTTCTGCGTCTCAACCAATTTCGACGGTGCCTGTTTCTAAGTTTTATTAGAGAGATTATATTAGGAGGTAGAGCTTTGGGAGAAGATTTGATTTCTCTTTTAGGAATACTGTGCTCTTTAGCTGCAACGATCACTAAGCTAAACAAATTTATTAAATTGTCTATGTCGTCCTGCGAACTAGCGGGGAAGGAGTCGCAGTCTGGTAATAGTCGGTTGATTGTTCTACCAAACACAGTCCAGTTTGCGTTTTTGATATCATAGAAGAATTTTTTAACTTTAGTGTAATTTGAGTGCAGTATTGTTTGGACAGGGAGATGATCCGAGCCTAGATCATTTATTGCTATAGTATTGGATAACAGTTGACAGTTGTTTGAAACAAATAAGTCTAGCGTAGACGATTGATATCTAGCACTCGCTGGTACATAAGAGTGTTCATTAGGGAAATGAACTGCAAGTCCACGAGATAATGAGAAGTTGTACAGCAATGATCCCCAGACATTTGCTCGGTTACAGCCCCAGAGCCTGTGTCGGCTATTAAAATCTCCTCCTAACACTAAGTTTCCAGGAGTGCGGGTTAATAGTCGCAAATCATTTGTAAAGATTTGTTTTTGAAGGGGGTCCGCTCGACCACCACCAAAATAACAGCAAAACAGTGAAGTGCAGGTAGTTCCGTTAATGGTAATATTTATGCCAATAGATTCGATTAAATTTGTGTTAGGGAGGGGAAGCAGGGTATGGCGAATAGATTTTTTAATAATAATGGCAACCCCTCCTCCTCTTCTACTAGATCTGTCACATCTGTAACAAAAGTAATTATTGTTTTTAATTGATAATGAGCTGTTAAGCCAGGATTCAGTTAGTAGACAGATATCTACATTTTCTCTATTTAAGAAAGCAAAAAGCTCATCTTTCTTATTTTTAACGCCTCTAGCGTTCCAATGCTTCTTATTAAAAAGGTAAATTTCACCTGTATATGTGCAGGTACAAGGGATCGAAAATCGCATTCCAATTTGGCCACTGGGATTGATCAGGTACTACATTTCTAGCAAAAATCATTCTGATAGGCAAACCCACGATCATTGAAATAAAATCATCTACTTAAATATAAGCGCGCCTCTTCCGGTCAAACCCAAAATCGTTCACACAATTCTAAGTTGTCGTAGGCACACGTCAATGCTCATGTCGCATGCATATACTTATAAACATACACACACGCACATACATACAAAGGCACTGAACTGCTTCTACAATGATAACCCCATCATTTGTGAGCATCGCGGCCCCTGCGTACACAGAATCAAACATATTTATGTAAGTGTGAGCACTTCACAAGATCGACTAAATGCAAATGCTAGGATTTCAAATTGCTATAGCCAGCAAGGGCTTTGCACACAGGCATACAAATGCTCATAGTACATGTAGCATACTGTAAGTGTGTGTGTGCATGCTCGTCGCGAAAACATTTTCATTATGCGCACCAACGCTTTCATACTCTTCCCACAAATAATAACGCAAACGCATGGCAAACGGCTTGAAGAGTTCGGAATACTCTTCACTCAGAAGGGAAGGCATGGGTTCTTGCTGCGACGAAATTTCAATTTTCGTGAGCTGCTGCTTGTAATCACATGCATACATACATATACATATTTGAGAGAGCAGAGAGCAGAGAGAGAGAGAGAGAGAGAGAGAGAGCAAGAAAAAATTGAGCATAGTAGCTTCTTTTGTTCAATATTTGACCATCTCGAGCGCATGAAGCGAAATGATTGTGCTTTCGTATATTTTCGTAGCCCAAACCTAAAAGTGAAGAGCCGATCAAATAGGAAGTGGTCTGGGAGATAACTCCCGAAAAAAGTGTGCAAAACGCTTTACACTACTTGTCCGGTCTATGTGTTCTGCGTTTTCTAAGAATCTCGATTGCGATTGATTTGTCTTTGCATTGTTTTTGAATTTCCAGCCGCTACTCTGCCTTTTTTTTTGCTACATGGCGTCATAACAATAATCTGATTTCGTTTTAACACTACCAACATTACCAGAACACATACGTCGACTAGACATCTAGTAAAATTTTTGTCAAAGACGACGTATGTACATACATATGTACAAATTAATGTTTTTCTCATTCCCGCGTCGTCGCTGAAGTTCGTAAGAATTCCCAGGTGTCTTCTTAGGATGTTTACGGTGGTGGCTTGACTTCACTTCAATCACTGGCCTTGTGGCTCAGCAATATGTTGAATATATGAAAACGATTATTTACGGCTGTCGCCGGAGTAGTATAGTTTATTTTGAACTTTGTCAGTAAACATCAAATACAAAACTGAATTCAGACAAAAGCAGAATATTATGCTAAACCTAAAGCTGAATCCATACGCTGCAAAACTACAGAGCTACAGCCGGCAGCCGACTCAGCAAAAATGATAACGCAAACACTTGCAACATAGTCAAGTATCATGTTACCATGGTTGGTCAAGCCACTGAACTCATGCGTCAGCGGAATGTATTTAGAGCGATGGATTCGTATGAATAATATTACATAGTTATACAACATTGCTATAAGTTATTGTGTGCGATACTTATGTGTTAACTTACATATTTGCTCGGTCTTTTGAGGCTCGAGCAGTGAAAATAAGGCGCTACGAGCGCTGGCACATTTAAGCTGTTTCAGGACAATGGCCCTAAGCTTAAGGCCACAAAACCGAGTCCTGTCTACATTTCAGTTACCCAAAACTTTTGGAAACACCTCCCCAGCCCCCAGACCTGACCTCTATAAAAAAATTTTGGAGCCAGGTAGACTGCCGAGATCACAAAACATCGATATCTTCAATATTTTACTTAAAGACATGGCTACAGGAAGAGTGGGCCAAAATCGGCTCCAAGGACACAACAAAAATTGTAAACACTTTATAAAAACATCTAAGGGACACTCTAAAATATAATTAAATTTAAAATTTATTAATTTCAACTATTATTACTTGTTTTATGGGCGGTTGAAGTTGAAAAACAAGTAAGAACGTTGCAGTCGGGGGTTACCGACTGCGGAATACTCATTCACATCCCATCAACAATTTAGTAGTTAAGTTTCACTCTAATAGTGTAGAAAACACCGATTTGCCACGCCCCTACTGGTCAGTTCTTAGAACGTGACACCGGTACCCTAACTGCAAAGTTTGAATGCTTACCCTCAAAAAATGTTAAAATTACAGGGTATTTTTCGATATGCCACGCCCCTAAAAAGGCGTAAAAATTATTTTTGGGTCATCTATAGAGGAGGTTACTGGTAACTTAACTATCTAAATTTGAAGCTCTTAGCTATTATACTTTAGGAGATATCAACTTTTGCGGTTTGCCACGCCGCGTCCGTGGCGGACATATATCCGACAAAACTTTTTGGTCTTGGGTGATCAGCCCGAGTATATATACAAAATTGGAGGTCTCTGGCATCAATAGTGTCCAAAATATAGCAGAATTTAAAAAATCACTACATCTTCATTGCATTGCGTCTGAGCGAAACAGATTCTAAAGAAAACAAGTAAGAAGACTCTAGTCGAGACTGCTCGACTAGGAGATACCCTGAACCCTCTAAGCTGATATTCTAATCAGTCTGCACTTCTTTTCGACGTACATACATACACACGCACGTATTAGTACGCGCTCTGCTAACTGCGCAGTAAGCAGCGACTACGCTTGGGCTGCGCTGCAGTGTGGGCAACATTATAAGAATTTATTTGTTAAATAATTTAATTTCTAGACGTACAATCTTAATGAAACTTTCAGGGCGTAATTATATGGTGAAAATGTATGTACATTCCAAAGCACACGTCTCTAGTACTTGAAATACGCCTTTTACCAAGGTGAGGGTGAGGGGGTGGATATAAGGGTGGGAGGTAAACTGCAACAAAAACCGAAATTATATAAAATACATATAAGTCTACATTTAAAATCTGGAAGCTCTAGCTCGAAAGGAGTAGGAGATATAATTAAATAGCTAGCTTTCGATAAGGTTTTTAATCGATAATAAAATATCGGGAGTAGTTATCGGTATATAAAGAAAAACTTGATATGCGCGTGATATACACGGGCCTAGGAAAAAAAATTTCAAGTCTGTAGCTCTTATATCTTCTGAGATTGACGCGTTCATACATACGGACGGACGGACGGACAGACAGACGGACAGGGCCAAATCGACTCAGCTCGTCGCCCTGATCAAGAATATATATACTTTGTGGAGTCTGCCACGCCTCCTTCTGCCTGTTACATACTTTTAACAAAACCATTATACCCTGATTTCCCATTGAAAATGGGTTCAGGGTATAAAAAACGAGGAACTCTCATTTGCAAGCTCTGCACACGAATGAGTCATTGCATTACGTCTGACCGAAACAGATTCTAAAGAAAACAAAGAGTGTCGCTCAGAGCGAGTCGTGTCTGCACAATTTTTTCGGTTATGATGCGAAGCAGAGCATAAACGAAAAAACGATCAACTCTCATTTGCGAACTCAGAAAAAACCCTAATATTAACGTTAGACTCTGTATGTAAATGTCACAATTTGGCATTTCAAATGTCGATTGCCACGCCCCTAGTGGGCGGATCCGGAAAATTTAAACACTTTATAAATCGGAGATATACGCAAGGAAGTGTTCCGAATTTCAAGTCTCTAGCTTCAATAACGCAAATTTCGTTCATACGGACAAGACGGACATGCACAAAACCAATATACTCATTTCATTTTCGTAAATAAGTATAAAAATGAGAATTACACATGGTAAAACTATTTAAATAATTTTAAAAAATTGTACAAATTTTGTCTTCATATTTTTTTTTTTATTAAATTTACATATGTTTGCATTATATATATTTTGTATAGTACGAGGTATATATGTATATATTTCGTCCCATGTATTAACAGTTCAAAATGATTTATTGCGTTGATTCATTGTTTCTTTGCTTTTTAATTCCTGCATCTCCTACACTACTCTTATAATGAGCTTCGGTCACCATAACACCATCCATATCCACAAAGCGTGTATGTATTCCAGCAGCAATAAAACGTTTTGTTGCAGTTATATCCAAACGATGTGCAGATAAAGAACAGGTAATTTGCATTTCACGAGCTAGCAATTCCTTCGCTCGACTCAAATCGTGTAAAATATAATGCTACGAATATAAATAAATGGTTTTGGTAATAAATATATAAATAAATAAATATATGTATACATATATAAGTTAAGCGCTCCCATACTAAAGTACTAGTGATTGGGGGACGCTGTGTTGGGTTCTTGTGAATATATAACAACTTTGTGTTCAATGAAATAATATATTTTATATAATTTGGAACAATAGGTCTAAACTCTCTCTAGTCCGAATATAAACAGAACTAAATCTGTTCAACTGGTTGAATGTCTGACTGGACTCTCCAGCCTCCTTAGATTGTCGAAAGTCTTAACTCTTCCCCATCTAAATATCTGCGTCCCGCAGATCAGGGTGCATATGTCCATTATAATGATATTCATCCAATATAAATTGTCCAATATAATGGTATTTATCCAATATAAATTGCCCAATATAATGATATTTATCCAATATAAATTTACTATCCATATTCGATAGTTCCAGAGTCCATAAATTAGCAACTAGGAAGGATATACTACGTGTAAAATGCTGTGAATGCTATGGGTGGTAAGGAAGTTAAGGAAGTTAAAAGAGGATTATTACAATTTAATTAATTAAAATGTGCATTTTCCTTTTTTTTTTCTATTTTCTTAAGTGTGATTTATGAAGAATTTTTCCAGTTTTTGTTTTGATTGTCACATTTCGGTTTTCCTTTACTTCGTCTTTTGCAAATCTTTTTTTGACCTTAGTCTCAATTTGATTGTTTCTTTTATATTATTTCATTGAATTACTAATTGTATTGAATTACGTGTGTTATGTGTATTACTACGTGTGTTATTGCGTTGTCTGTTATATAATTGCTTGAATTACCAATTACTAGTTGTGTTATCTTTTGTTACCGAACCGGCAAACAGTTTTTATTATTTTATATGGCTTGGGAAGCCCTCAGGATCCTTTTTGGTGTAAGACCTACTTAGGCGAGGGTGGTTCCACAATCATCTGGTCTCTCTCTTACTTTCATTTCATTTATTTATTTATTTTACTTTTTTCTTTTATATATTGTTGCCAGACTTATTCTTTTCCGAAAGGGAAGCCCAAAGTATTCCTCTTTGGTTCTAAGACCTACTAGGGTAAGGGTTATTCCACGATCGAATAGAAGGTCTGCTACAATTCATGTTTTTATTTTTGCATATTTATGCTTTGCTTGTTGATTAGAGATTTCCAGACAACCGCCTTTTAATTTTGTTATATAGTTAATGCTTTAAACTTAACTTTGACCACTAGGTTTCTTTTAATTTATACGGAAACCCATCATTCAACACTCGTGGAAATTGTGACGTTTATTTTTTATGACATTTGTCTTACGGCATGGATTTGACCACCATTATGCCTGCAAATTTCTTGTATTTTCGTTTTAAGAGTCGTCTCGGCACGGATTTGAACCTAGGTATTGCCAATACCACCATTTAGCCACGATTTCTTTTATGTTATAGAATTCTCTAGTGCACCAACACTTGCTAGAAAGTATGTTATTATTTATTGTATTATGTTATGGCAAGGATTTTCACCCCATTACTTTGCAAATCGCAGAAGTACTTCGTAATTTTGCCAACAATTGCCCAATTGGATTGGAACAATTTATTTGTACTTGCTTTTTTAATAAGTTATTTTTATAGAATTATTGACACGTCACCATTTCCCTTTATTTCCGTGAAGAATGTGGGTCCCTGCTCGGGCGCCAGTTAAGCGCTCCCACACTAGAGTACTAGTGATTGGGGACGCTGTGTTGGGTTCTTGTGAATATATAACAACTTTGTGTTCAATGAAATAATATATTTTATATAATTTGGAACAATAGGTCTAAACTCTCTCTAGTCCGAATATAAACTGAACCAGAGAACTGCAACAAGCCACCGGTACTCAAGGTGCACCGGGTAAATGTTGGGTGATTTTGACACCCGGGTGTTTTCAAACACCGTACAAATGAGTACAATCGCTCGCCTCACAAAAATATTTGAGTGTTTGTGCACACTAGCTGCAAAAGTGAGTAGGTATTTCTTTTGCATATGTGTGTGTGACATATGCCGACGCTTGAGCGTCGAAAGAAAGTTGGGTGAAAAGAGATACACAAAAATTGAAGCATACAATGTGTGTGTGTGTTGAGGTTTCTTTTGTGCATGCCTTCGGTTGAGATGTGTTTTTTTTTTTACGTTTGTACTTGTTTACGTACGTGCTGATGGAAATGCGTGCACAATAGGAACAAATAGAAAACCAAAAACAATATTGAAATCAAAAATAACTTTTTTACATTCATTTAATATATTAAATAAACATTATAATGCTGCAGTGCATTCATTTAATTAACAAAATGAAACACGAAGTAAACTAGGAAGCTAAGAAAGGAGCACATACCATGGTACCTGTAAAGCACTTGGGTGTCATACATGTGTTTTGTCTACTTGTGTTTGTTACTCATTGCTCTTTTCACACTTTCGCTTTTTTTCTACGTTCGCTGTAAGTGTAAGTGGGACCGGCAAGCGTTGACGAAAAATACTTGGGTGACAAGCAAAAAGAAAACGACACATTGTTGTGAGTGACAGCAAGATATTGCCTACATGAGCAGCACTCATACAATTTTTATAAGTGTGTGTTTATGATTTGCTGAACCAGTGTTGATTAGCACCGGCACACAAATTTTATTGAGTGTGAGTAAGGTGGCAAAAATTGGCACACTTGCAGCTCTCTGAACTGAACTAAATCTGTTCTACTGGTTAGGTTCTCCTCTTGAATGTCTGACTGGAATCTCCAGCCTCCTTAGATTGTCGGAAGTTTTAACTTGTATGTATGCATGTGAGCACAAGCAGCAGCTCACGAAAATTGAAATTTCTTCGAGTTAGACTGCCGTTTCTTCTCTTCTGTGTGAAGCGTATACTGAACTCTTCAAACCGTTTGCCAAGCTTCGTATTTGCGTGTTCGTTATTATTTGTGGGAAGGGTATGATAGCATTTGTGCTCATAATGAAAATGTTTTCGCGATGCTCACAAATTATGGGGTAATCATTGTAAAAGCATTTGTGTGCCTATGTGCCTTTATACGTTTTAAAAGTTTTTTTAATTGCATACAGCTGTATACGAATGTACATATATGAACGGGTGTTAGGGATCGAAAATCGCATCCCACTTTGCCCACTGAGCTTAATCAGGTACTACATTTCTTTAAACTTAATCAGGTAAATAATTTCTTTATCTTTCTGATAGGCAAACCCACAATCATTGAAATGAAATCAGATGCGATAAGCGGGAATTACCCGCCAGTCACTATACCACACACGTATAAGTTAAGACTTACGACAATCTAAGGAGGCTGGAGAGTCCAGTCAGACATTCAAGGGGAGAACCTAACCAGTAGAACAGATTTAGTTCAGTTTATATTCGGACTAGAGAGAGTTTAGACCTATTGTTCCAAATTATATAAAATATATTATTTCATTGAACACAAAGTTGTTATATATTCACAAGAACCCAACACAGCGTCCCCAATCACTAGTACTCTAGTGTGGGAGCGCTTAACTTATATATATTCAACTGAGTTGGTCGTCCTAATCAAAAATACGCATATATATATATTTATATATATTATGCTTAAGTTTTTTATACCCAAAACCCATTGAAAATGGGAAATCAGGGTTGCATTTCCGTTCTTGCCTTCCATCATTACTGCGCGTACCAACGAGTTCACGATGTCGTTTAATTCTCTTTACCAAGCTTTTTCTTGCTTAATTGTCTTTGACCAAGTGATTTCTCTCTCCTGTCAAAATCTCTAATTCTGGTCTGGGCGTCTCTCTCTCTCTCTCACCCAACGACACCCGGGATCATCCAGTGGAGACGAGCTAAATGAGGTTGGTCGAAATAATGCATTTAATACGTGACGTAAAGTAATACATTAACTATAAGATTTTTTTCAGCGCATTTGTATGACCGAAATTAAAACGACTACTTGTTCGAAAAAATCGTGCTGTTGTCAACTTCGTTTTTGTATGCCCTTCCCCTCTAATCAACCAACGATTTTCGTCTTCGTTTTGTTTTTTTGTCTATGCCTATTCCTTTTGTGCGTATAGTGTTACTGTGTGAAAATACAAGTCCATAATTGTATACACATGTGACACGCCACTTTTCAGATTTTATTGTGCTATGTGGACGTAATTTTGAAGGCAAGTATTTCGCAGTGAGCTATTAATATAAATATGCTCTATCTGGTATGTATAAATCACCTTAATTTTATTTTTATACCCTGAACCCATTTTCAATGGGAAATCAGGGTATGGTTTTGTTGAAATGTATGTAACTGGCAGAAGGAGGCGTGGCAGACTCCGTAAAGTATATATATTCTTGATCAGGTCGACGAGCTGAGTCGATTTTGCCCTGTCCGTCTGTCTGTCCGTATGTATGAATGCGTCGATTTCAATTTTTTTTAAATGTCCGTATTTACAGTGCGGATATCGAGTTTATCATTAAAAATCGATAAATCATCCCGATCTTTGTTTATCGATAAAAATCCTTATCGAAAATCAGTTATCAAATTATATCTCCTACATCTTTGGAGCTACAGTCTCCAAATTTTGAGTGTATATTTATAAGTTATTAAACAATTAAGTTCTCAGTAAGCGCACACTGCAGCCCATGCATGTTTATGCGTGGGTGCTTATGTGTGTATGTGCTTGTGTGTGTGCGTGTTTCTTGTGTAAGCAGAAATACGCAAAAAATGATTGAAATAGCTATTGCTCGAAGGGTTCAGGAGATCTCGTAGTCGAGCATTCTCGACTAGAGCTTTCTTACTTGTTAACTAATAATTTTGAATTAACAGATGCTATTAAAAGCGAAGAGTGGACCAAAAAGAGATACATCACAACTATTAGGAACTGCTTTCGGGTTCAGAAAGGTCGTCTGGCGAAGCAAAAATTTGACCACAAAAAAATAAAACAATTAATTAACATGTAGTTATGTAAATATAGACTAAGTGAATTTAGATTTTAAGAATGTAAATAA